AATTTTTCTCTTTCCCCCCCTCCGAAGCAGTTTCCCCAGGTCTGGCCTCTTTCTGTTGAAGTTGATCTAGCAGCTCATCAGTGGTTAGTTCTTCACTGTCCTCCTCCACCACTCTTCCCATCATCCCCCCTAACCTCCAACCCCAAGGACTTTCCAAAGCCACAATGGATTCCTCAATGGCATACTCCTCTCAGGGTTAGCCTGAAACCCTTCAAAATCCTTTGGTTACACATTCTGGCCACAGTTTTTTTCCAAGCAGGTTCAAGGTCCCCTTAGTCACTCCCCCCAAGCCTTCCCTATAGGTTTTTCACAATTGAGGATATTAAAGTGCTCTCTCCAAAACTCTCTTAGAGTCAATTGAGTTTCTGAGGTCACTACAAAGCACCTTTCAAACAGAGTTTTGTGTACAGTTTTTGAAGTTTGCAATAACCTGCTGGTCCATGGGCTGCAGGAGAGGAGTGGTATTAGGAGGCAAAACTTCACCTTAATGAAGCTCATGTCCCCATAAAGTCGCTCTGCCACGTCTGTAGGATGACCAGGGGCATTGTCTAACACCAGGAGGCACTTAAGGTCTAATTTCTTTTCAGTTAGGTAATCTTTCACTTGGGGGCAAATGCATGGTGTAACCAGTCATAGAAAAAGTCCCTAGTGACCCATGCCTTACTGTTTGCCCTCCACAGCACACACTTGAGGATATTCTTTTGCCTGAATGCTCTGGGAGTTTCTGAGTGATACACTAATAAAGGCTTCACTTTGCAATCACCACTAGCATTGGAACACATCAACAGAGTAAGCCTGTCTTTCATAGGCTTATGTCCTGAGAGTGCCTTTTCCTCCTGAGTAATGTAGGTCCTGCTTGGCATTTTCTTCCAAAACAGGCCTGTTTCATCACAATTAAACACTTGTTCAGGTTTCAGTCCTTCACTGTCTTTTGTACTCCTTGAATTCCTGCACATATTTTTCAGCTGCTTTGTGGTCCGAACTGGCAGCCTCACCATGCCTTATCACACTATGCATGCCACTACGCTTCTTTAATCTCTCAAACCAACCTTTGCTGGCCTTAAATTCATCACATCATCACCCAGTTGCAGGCATTTTTTTTAATTAAATCCTCATGCAAAATTCCTAGCCTTTTCATTATGATCACTTGAGAGATGCTATCTCCTGCTATCTGTTTTTCATTTATCCCTACAAAAAGAGTCTCTCACATCTTCCATCACTTGCGATCTCTGTTTCGAAAACACAGTTGAACCTTTGGCAAGAACAGCTTCCTTGATTGCCGTTTTGTTGGACACAATAGTAGCGATGGTTTTATTTGGGGGTTTTCTATACAACCTGGCCAGCTCGGAGACACGCACTCCCCTTTCATCTTAGCAATGATCTTTTTTTCATCTCTATTGTAATTTCTCACCCTTTTGCTGTAGGGTTGGCACTAGAAGCTTTCTTGGGGGCCCATGGTCACTTATTTTGCAGATAAAATCACCAAAAACACTGTAATATACGAAATGTTCCAATTGTATGCTTGGATGTTACATGGAGGCTGGTGGTAAACAATGCCACCGGCGGAAAATGTGAGGCTGGCTCAGGCCGCACATTAGACGCGTCTCGGACGAACAGCGTTGAGCGGGTTTTTTAGCGGTATGCGAGGGAAAAACTTAGCGATAAAAAAGTATCGGTATGCGGGGTTTAATTTTTGAATGCCAACGGTATGGGGGGTCCACTGACAGTGGTCCTGGGATACAAAAAGCTCAAAACGGAATAATTATGTAAGGTCAGTATTTTGAAAGTGCTTTTCTAAGTGTTTTTTTGGGGGGTCAAAACGGATTAAATTTAATTTACATTATTCCTTTGGGAACAATTCGTTCGGTTCAGCATCAAAAGCCTTCGGGAAAAAAATTACAGTGGACCTGGGTAACGGCTTATCCGTTCCAGAGAGCTTGCTTTAACCGATTTTGTGTTACCCAAATTAATTTTCCCAAAGAAATAATGGAAACCCAATTAATCCATTTCAGACACCCAAAAGTTTCCCAAAAAATTTTTTTTTTTTGAAGTTTAAAATTAGATATACTACAGAAAACAATGAAAAATAAATTAAAGCATAATAAAATGGTAAAGAACTTTTAAAACACTTACCTTTACTGAAGATTGTTGGTGTTTGGGACGGTAGGAGGGAGAGGAGGAAAGTTTATTATGCTTAAACACGATGCTAATCCCATTTGGCTTATTTTCTATCAAATTATCTAATATGACATGAAAAACAACTTTAATAACATAAAAACATGATATAATTTTTTTTCTATCGACCGCTTAACTTTTGTCCTGTTAATTTCACTTTATCAGGGCTGGCACTTTTCCCTTTATCGATACCGCTGCTTTAGTACGCAAATATCGTAGAATTGCACAAATGTAGAATCCTCCCCACTTTGGTATTTGATCGAGTTTTTCTCTTGAATTCATGTGTTTTTTTTTTCCTTTTTACACAGGGCGGGCACTGAAATTTTCTTTGGGCCCCATGGTGGTTATTTATATTTAAAGCACTAAAAACAATGGAATAATACAAAATATATCGCATGTAGATGGAATATCCTCGCTGGCTTTTAAACAATGGCACCTGATTACATGGGGTAGGTCGTGAGACACGTTCGGGACGAATGTCCTTAACGGTTCTTGGGGTTTTGCCCAGCCAAAATTTTGTGCAAAAAAAGTGTGCTTCCGATTTTGGCGTTAGCCAATGCCGCCGTTACCCCAGGGTCCATGTAAATTCATACCAAGGTACCATGTTAATTTCTTTTCTTTGGGAAATGGTGATAAACTTTTTCTAATGGGAATGACACCAAAAATACAAAATTGATGGAAAATTAGGAATTAGTTTACATAGCACAAAGTCAGCGTCTAAACACAATTTAATCATAGGGGATTTTACCATTTTGAGTCCTATTTTAAGCCCCTTCTATTTCTCCATTCAAAAAAATTCTTTTTCTATTTTGCTAGTATGTGAAATATTACAATACCCTTAAAGTGCACAGAAGTCGAAATGGGCCCAAATTTTACAAAAAATTTAAAGGGGCCGAAATTTCAAAAACAGAGTGCAAAAAGCACTGTAGACATTCCGGGCAAAAAAACATTTTTTTCTGTTCAGACCATGTTCCCAGGGCCTCTCCTATATTAAATTGCCTTACTTTTTGGAATTTATAAAACACAAAAAAAAAGATTTAATACTTTTTTCCCCGGAAAATAAAATATGGCGAAATGATTTGCATGATTTGGGCACCCAAAAATAATTGAACAGACCCCTTAAAACCCATAAAAACAGACTCGGGGGTTAGGGGGGTGGGGCAGAAAAGATAGAACCCTTTATTCGGCGCATGGACAACCCTCATTTACGGCTTCTCCCCAACCGCGAACCGGTTGCAAAGAGTTGTGATGGGGCCCCCTCGTTCAAAGTGCCCAGGTTCTAGCCATAAGAAGGTGGGTTTGGGCAATCGAGGGGTTTATGTGGATACCGTTTTCCTGTTGCCCTTGTCATTCCCTTTCTAGAGCGGGTTTTTGAGAGGGTCTGCTATCTTGGGGCTTTTTTCTGCCTTGCTTCCCGTGGATGCACTATTTTTCCTGACATAGTGTACTTTTTGCTGTTCTAAATTGGTGAAGGAAAAATATAATTTAAAATTTTTTCTACTGTGTTTATTTGTCCCTTACACCTGGGTAACAGGCCTTTTAAAACCTGGGTTGAAATATGGGTACCCTGCCCGAGAGCTGGATTGGGAAAAAAGGGTTTGAGCTTGGGGGTTGAAGCTTGAGCGGGAAACATTGTGTAGCTTGCTTTTTTTCGCTTGCTTTACTTTTTTGGTGTCAGGTGTTATTCAGCCTTGTATTGGGTGATCGTTCAAAGCTCGTATTTGTTGTCAGTGTGCTCGCTTCGCTACGGTAAATCTTGGTGCAGTCGGCTTTGTTTGTATGGTATTCGCAATTGTACTTGCATAGCTAAGGTTTTCTGCAAATTAAACGGTTTGTTGGGTATTCGTCTGTGCTAGCGAATAACTTATGCCACCTGACGAGCGAGCCTTGCGGCATTATTTTGCATAACCTACCTAAATTCCCCCTACAGCGTTTTTGGCAAATTGCCGTTCATTGGCTTCCTTTAAACGCACTCCCCAAACTGCGAAACTGGTTCATTATTGTGACATACTTTTTGAAGAAGGAGGGCACTCAATCCCCCCTCTACGGGAGCTGGGAAAAAATCTTATGTTCTCGCATGAGGAAGTGATACCCCTGGGAGAAAAATGGTCAGTATGGTGCAGCTGGGTTTCTCGAGGTGAATCAGGTCTTTGGGCACTTGAGTTTGGAAAAAAATCACGCTGGAGAAAAAATTTGGGGAAAACAGAGAGCATTCGAAGGGAAGAATTTGATAGGGAAAGAAAAAAGGAGGCAGTTTTGCATTCTGTAAACGATTTCAGTTTCAAAAAGCAGTACGCTTTTTCCCCCGCTTCAATGGGGCCAACCAGAGCAATTTTTCGAAAGTTCGAAATCGGTCGAGCCTTGAGGGGCCGGACAGCACTGGGCAGCTTTGGTTCTACAGAAATTATTGGGTAAGGCACGGTTTTTCGTCGGTTTAACTGACGTGAATTCTTGATTATAAAGTAGTGAAGACCACAGTGTTGGGAGCATATACATGTATCCCAGCTAAATATCGTAAGCCCTTTTAAAATTGAACAGGCGGCAGCTTGGTCAATCCCTGGGGCTTTGTGAGACAGCCCAAACCAAAAGCTTTTCCAGCGGTATAAAGGAGTGGTGTCTCTAACTTTGAGGAGCTGGTGCAGTTATTCTGATTGAAAACCTGTGGAGTCTGTGGGACGAGGTTCGTGTCTTTCTGCAGGATCGTGATTTAAAACCTGCATTGGAGGCGGCCAGGTTGGTGATCCCTTAAAAAAGAACCGCTCCTTGTCCGGCGGCCCCGTCTCTCTTTCAACGTTGGCGTGAGCAGAGACGAAAAATTTGGGAAAATGAAGTGCCACCCGGGGAGAGCGTCTCCCGTCATCAACCAAGTACTGGTGAGCCACGCTTTTTAAAAATTGGTCCCCTGCGGAGAGGAAAACTCTTAGGGGGCATCTAAACAACAAATCCAAAAAGGGGCCCCGCCAGAACGACCCCACTTGCAACGTCATCAGGGATTAAAGGGCAACCCTGTCGTTTGTTTCAGGTGCAAAAAGTAGGTCACATAGTTCCAACTGCCCCCAAAAACCTCAACCCATGGAAAATCTTAATTCCCTGTAACATGCCCCCAGAGAAGAGAAAAAGGTTTGGGCCCCCTTTTTATTGCGAAAGTCTTATTTCCTTCAGGAAAACTCAGCCCAATAAATACCTTTAGAGATACTGGAGCATATTGCCTCACTTGTCGGGAAAAGGAAATATTCCCCCTTTCAGAGAATACTTCCTTAAATTTCCCTCAGTTTTTTTGGAAGCCTTGGAGGAGCATATTTCTTTTCCCTTTGAAAAAAAATTTATGTCGTAAAAATATTCACTGGGTATTGACTGTGGTATCTAAAAGGTTTTCCCATGAAAAAATGCCATGTTATTACGGGGTAATAACTTCTATGTTATTTGTGCCCTGAACCTATAATGATTAATGTTCCCGGTTGGCCATAACTCGGGCAAATCCCAAGGGTTGTCGGGGGGGTGTGCCCTTCCCTTTGGACGACTCGATCTCGGAATAGCCCAGTTGTTTTATGAGAACACCCCGGGCCCGGATCCCCGTAAATCAAGTAAAACAGACCCCGATCAAGCCTTCCTATTCCCCAGGTTGCAGGATTCCCAGATGTCTCTTTTTTCCTTTGCCCGAGGGACTGCCCTTCCCGGGGGGAGGAAAAACGAAAGGACCTTCTTTAAAATTCGCTTTTCAGGCAGCCAGGGGAAAAACCCTCTTTGGGTCACCCAGTCAAGTATAAAGTTAAAAATGTTATTTGGTTTGCACTGAGATGGTAAGGAGATAGGGGGCCCCGGCAAATACAAAGGTTGGGGTTTCCAAACCAAAGTATAGACCTAGTTTAAATTAGCTCTAAACGTCTTAGGAGGGTCACTTAGGAATTACAAAAACCTTTTTAGAATCCAAAAGAATTTTTTTGGCCCAAAATTAAAAGAAAGAGGTGAAAATCATATTAGGTGTTGCCGAGAATGTCAGCAAGTTGGAAAACCTGGACATTCCATTAACCTCACCTCTCCAACCATACCTGCTGATGGAGAACCTTTTGCAGTTTAATTATAGTTTGTGTAGGTCCACTACCTAAGTCAAAGTCTGAAATAGTTTTTATTTAAATTAGGATAAAGTAACCAGTTATCCTAAAGCGATCCCAATGCGTAGTATCAATACTAAAGCTATTCTCAAATTTTAACAAAATTCATTTTTGTTTTGGCTTTCCAAAAACTATAAAAAAGTGATCAAGGTATAACTTCATCCCAAAAGATTTAGGGAAGATTAACTGGTTAGGGATAATTCACAATTTACCCACTCCCTATCACCCCAGTCCCAAGGCGCCTTGGAAGATTCCACCAGAATTTAAAAAAAATGATGAAAGTTTTTGCATGCACTTTCGACAGATTGGGATGAAACTTACCTTTGTTTCTGTTTCAGTACGGGAGCGGTGCAAGATCTACAGGGTATAGTCCTTTGAGTGATTTTGGGCACAATGTACGAGGTCCCCCTTCGGGTGCTCAAGAAGGAGGATGGGAGAAAGACGTAAGCTCAGCACTCTACAACCCGTCTTCAAAAGGGTTTCAGGTGGCACGTGAGTTAGCCACGGCTAAATAAAGATAGCTCAAAGTAAATTTAAACAGAGGATGACAGAAGTGCACAGTTCCCCTCCTTCCATCCAGGAGACAAGGTGTTGGTGCGGAAAAACCCTTTCCTGGCCCACTTGAAAACTAGATTTAGGGACCTTGCAGATAGAAGTAGATTATTGATTTAAATTATGTGGTGCTCCCCTTTATAAAACCCCAAAAACAAAAACTTTCACATTAATCAAATCAAGGCCTTTCTAAACCCGATAAAGTCCCCGTAAAAGATCTGTCCTTACTCTGGGACGACTCGATCTTTGCACTCTATCTCTGAAAAATTTAAAACAACTTTTAAATTCGTCCCCTCAAGGTCCTAGCCCGTTAAAGGATGGATTATCTGAAATAAGAACCAAATTTTAAATGAGCTTTCAGTCTTCCTAATATTTTTCGGATGTGCCCAAAAAATGTACGTTAGGTTCCTGATGAGATGTGGGAAAATCTAAACCCAATTTAAAATCTCCCCCTACAGAGTAATCCTGAAAAAAACAAAGGCTACTTCGCGGGAAATAGATTTTGTTAGAAATGGTTTGTGGAGGAGATCTGTCCCCTGGGCTTCACCTGCATCCTAGTTTTAAAAAAAGGCTGATGGAGGGTTTGTATGTGCACAGACTACCGTAAAGTGAACGAGGTCACAAACACAGATGCTTACCCTCTTCCTCGTTGGATGACGTAATTGACTTTTGGGTAAAGGGTATTTTTTGTCCAAATTAAACTCCTTAAAAGGGTTTATCGGTACCCTTTGACAGATAAAGGGGAAGGGGAAAACTCTGCCTTCGTAATCCAGGAGGTATTATCAGTTACAGTTACCCCTTCGGAATGAAAAATTCCCCCTCTTATTCCAGAAACTAGTCCATCGGTATTTTAAAAGGGCTTGAAGGCCGGCGATACCTAGATGATATTGTTGTGGGTTGATTTGGGAAACACCTATTAGACTTAAAACTCTGTTTTTAGACCTTTAAGAATTCCCAATTAACAGTTAATTTTCTAAACTTCCTTTGGCCCCGCCACTGTCACTTTTTAGGCCCTGAAGTAGGTGTGGTAATGTTGCACCTAACTTGCTAAAGTTCTTTCGATTAAAGATTATCCAGTTCTTCTATGGAAATCTCTTAACGTTTTAGGCATGAAGGATTTTTCGAAGATTCGTAAGAATTTCTCGATATTGTAGCCCCCCTTACCTCTCTTACCAGTCATAAAGTTCCCTTTAATTGGACGTCGATTGTAACACTGCTTTTAAAAAAGCAAAAGTTATTGTGCTCTGCACCCTTCTCCCGTCTCCCGACTTCTCCAAAAAACCCTTTTTTATTACGGTTGAGCTTTTGGTTGGGGGTTGGGGGGGTACTATTCAATGGGAACAAGGAGTGCAGCCAAACGCATCTTTTCAGCTAAGTTCCGCCCATCAGGAAACTTACTCTACCATTGAAAAAGAAGCCCTCGCGCTTGGTAATGGTTTGGAATTTGATGTTTTATGTGGGCCAGACACGAGGTGGTCACAATCTCAGTGTCACAACCCTTAGTCTTTCTCCAAGCCATGAAAAATCACAACACAAGCTTAGCGTTGGACGCTCAGGCTGCAGCCCCACAACAAAAAAAAATTTTATTGCCCGGCAAAGAAAATGTGTTGGCAGATCTTTGAAGGTCTAGTTTAAAATTTTTTTTTAGGTTAGGGTGATTTGTGGTAACCCCCCTTTCAGCTCTTTTTTTTATCCCCTGATGTGGGGGTTTTTTTTTGTGAGGGGGTACGGGCTACCCTCCCCCTTGTATTTGGGCCCATGTTTGGGCCCATCTGATGCTGTTCCTCTGGTTTAGGGTTTGGCTTTTGGTCAAAACCCCCCCCCCCCCCCCCCCCCCCCCCCCCCCCCCCCCCCCCCCCCCCCCCCCCCCCCCTTGGGTGGCCTATCAAGAGTAGTAAATTGGGCGGCCCCCTTTTCGGCATTCCCCCAAAAAGGAAAACCCCTGAGGGGGGGCCCCAAATGCCTTCTGGGGGGGGGATTGGCATTGCAGGGGTAGTAACCCTTTTTTGCCGCACCCATTTAAGCTTTAAGCACGGTTGCTATTTGTGGGGGCCATTTTGTTCATAGTGCCAAATTTTTTTCATGAAATTTTTTTGCAATCGCAAAAGGTTTTGGGATAAAGCTCTTTTTTCTGGGTTTATTTTCCCATTTTAAGGGGAAAAGGGCCTTTGTCTTTTTTGGGGCTTTACCCGTTCTAGGAAAATTCACAAAATTTATCATTTTTAATTTTTGGTCAATTTCGGTCTTTTGTTTAAAATAAAAATCACTTTTTCATGTGTTTATTTCCCAAAGATACAGAACAGCCCAAAAAAAAAATCATAAAAAAATTTTAACTAAAAAAACATTTTAAAATTGTATTTTAAACCAAACACGTGGTTAGAGTTGTGCTTTTCCAATCACGAAAGCATAATTCCGTAAGTTTTCCATCAAATTTCATACTTTTGGTGTCATTATCATCGGAAAAAGATTCTCTATCATTTCATAAGAAGAAAAAAAAATTTTTTCGAAACTTTTTCTACCCTGAGAACGAGTTTGGGAGAGGGCCTCTAGACCCTCAAAGGGTTAAAATCACTAAGAGTGTCTTATTAGTCTTGAGGATGCCATATTAATAATAATAATAAGCAATAATAATCACTCTGAGGCACATTAAATGTCATATATTAGTAGAATAAATTAACATAAATATGAGACATTGTGTATGAACCAAAACCAGACATGTTCATCTGCTTGTTTACATAACTCCACGTCTCCTCTCTCATTTACCCATTCTCTCTCTCTCTCTCTTTTATTTATTTATCTATTTATTTAGTAATTTGTGCATACATACAGAGGTACAAAAAAATACAGGTAAGAGCAGCATGCCAAAGCCACTTATATGCATAGCATTACGGGCTCTCATTTCTTTGTTTTACAGTACCTCATTTACGCACCTCTCAACAAATATTTTAAGGTAAGTAATGAGTATAAGGTATATGCATTTTGTCGCTCTAGGGCACTTTAAATGTCGTAGTATATTATGTGTGGGTGGCATGGGGGTGGCCTGGCCTTGCTGGCTACCATACCTCCCACACCTGACTTCCTACAAATAAATACTACTCAACTCTCACCCTAAATTAAGACTAGAAATGTTTTAAGGTAAGTAATGAATGTACTGTATATGCAGTTTATTGCTCTGGGGCACTTTAAATGTCATAGTACATTACGTGTGGGTGGGGTGTCCTGGCTGGCTACCATACCTCCTCCACCTGACTTCCTGCAAATAAATACTATTCACCTCTCACCCTACATTAAGACTATAAATATTTTAAGGTAAGTAATGAGTGTACTGTGTGTGTATTTTTATTGTTTTTAATGCCTAGTTCCATTGCTAACTTTATATATGTTAGTTTAAACTTGTTTTCTGGCATTTACTATATGCATTTGTAAGTGGAAAAAAATGGCGTTTTGCTTTCCGGTGATGTCTGCTTTCCAGTGGTAGTCTGGAACCTACCCTGCTGTGTAAGGACGGGGGCCCTACTGTATATGACAATAAATTCTAATATCAATCCTACCCTGAAATTCTTTCTTGATAGCTGCAACATAACTCATAGGCATACTACCAGTCACAAAAATCTCTATGACATTCCACATATCCAATTCAACCTGTGTACAAACTCAATGTGCATAAAGGGACCTAAAATCTAGAACTCTTTGCCTGAAAATTCAATGATTTCCTGTCTGCCACACCAGCCATCAACACAAGATAAATATTTACATGTGATAAACACCATTATATTACCAACATATTCACCAGTCATCAACACAAGATAACACTACTATCATCAATGCTCGCCTGTCACCAGCACACTGAGGGGTAATACTACTGTCGACATGTGGACTTGCTTGTTCTCAAAATTCAAGGTAACATTACTGTCACCATTATACTTACCTGTTAGAACACACGATAGTGCTACTATTATCAGCACTCTGAATGCATCATTAACTGTTAACACACGCACTCATCCGTCATCAACACACTCACCTAGTAACACCACACTGTCACAAACACAATCATAACACACTTGTTACCAACATGTTACCAACATACCTGTCACCAACACACCCATCACCAACACACTCATCAACACACCCATCACCAACACACTCAACACCCCCTGTCCCAACCATTCAACCCACCCATCACCAACACATTCAACACACCCATCCCAACACATTCACCAACACACTTGTCACAAACACATTAAAACACACCCATCACCAACATATTCATCAATACACCCATCATCAACACACCAACACATTCATCAACACACCCATCACCAACATATTCATCAATACACCCATCATCAACACACCAACACATTCATCAACACACCCATCACCAACATATTCATCAATACACCCATCATCAACACACTGTAACCAACAGATCTGTCACTAACACATTCATCAACACACCCATCACCAACACACTGTAACCAACAGATCTGTCACTAACACATTCATCAACACATCTGTCACCAACACATTGTCACCAATGCACTGTCACCAACACATTCATCAACACATGTCACAAACGCATTCATCAACACATGTCACCAACACATGTCACCAACACGTCACCAACACATGTCACCAACACATCTGCCACCAACAGATCTGTCACCAACACATTCATCAACACATGTCACCAATACATCTGCCACCAACAGATTTGTCACCAACACATTCATCAACACATGTCACCAACACATTCATCAACACATGTCACCAACACATTCATCAACATATGTCACCAACACATTCATCAACACATGTCACCAACACATTCATCAACACATGTCACCAACACATTCATCAACACATGTCACCAACATATTCATCAACACATGTCACCAACACATTCATCAACACATGTCACCAACACATTCATCAACACG